CCCATTTCTGGTGTTACAGTCTGGCATTATTTCTGGTATTATGATTAGTTATTGATAGTTACCACTTAAAACACACTGCTGATGTGCAATGGACGAATGAAATTTTTACTCCCAAAATTTAAAACCAAAAAAATTGCCAATCTATTTTTATCATCTAGAAGGTAAATTTGCACTTTTAAACTGGCTTAAAAAATAAGAATTTTCCTATCAACAACATTGAACACAACATGATTTTACATGAACAAAATGAAAACACTGTTTTCCATTTTTCATATAAACAACAATAAATGCACAAAAGGTAATTAAGCTACCGGTACTGGAGAATGCAAAAGAATTACAAGATAAATCCCCTAAAGCTTTTTAATTAAAAAATGGAATAGTTTAAAGATGTGTTTTAGATTTCAGAGAAAAAGCATTAATTGTAATATTAGATAAAAAGTGAATACACATATTTTTGGATTGTTGCTGTTGATTAAAAGTAGACAACAAGATGCAGGGTAATAACCCTGGATTCAGGTAATACTTCTAATATAAATTCCTTGAGGGAGGCATTAATAAGCATATTTGACTAGAAACAGCACATAACATGTGTATTAGTTTTGTTTTTAATTAGATTTAGACAGAATTCATTATTTTTAATGGCTTTTCATTAGTGAATAGAAAACATTATTTGGATATATTATGGTAAAATAAATTCAAGGTGTGTGATTATTTTCTGCAAAGAACCTCTGTGTATTTAAAGAAACTATTGTTTGGAGCAGAAATCGTAGATATTTGAAATCCCTTGCTGTTAGACAAAAGTGTGGTTTATATGCTTTTAAAGTAGCAAACTTACCTCTCTCAGGTCAGGTATTAATAGTGAAGTTTATTGAACAAGATAGTTTATTTAAAATATAGATAAGTCTTGTAGTTCATCAGTAATGTTTGTTCACACTTGGACTTTTCAACAAATAGTGCTAGAGGCTGGGTGGGGCAGGGGGCGGAGAGACATTCTCAGATTTTGTTTGAACAGGATAACTTAGTTTTGGTTCACAGGGACGCATGTTGACCAAGTTCATTGGATTAAATCTCCCTTAAAGAAACCCTGACCATCAAGGGATCCTGGACATAAGACCAGAGTCCATATTTGCAGTATTTACTAAGATCTTCAGGTAGAGAACTCTGCCATAAACAGACCAGTTGGAATTAATCTCAGTTGTATGACTTATTCACCCTACTGTAGAAATCTGTTTTCTGCTTATTAGTCTACTGAATTGTAGCATCTCAAAATGAGAAAACTACAGTGACTTGTTAATGGTACCCTAAGGAGGTAGAAGTGGGTTCTTAAAATGCACCAATGAGTCATAAATAAAACTAATAATGTTATTTTCTAACAGTAATTTTTAAAGGTGAATTTCTCCAACCTTATAAGGTTTTTACATGACCCTAAATAATAAACTAACACCCATGAGCTTGCTGTGTTTTTTTAGCCAGTTTTTCTTTCGTTTTACCTTTGATCTGTGCAAATTTCTTTCATGCAAAAAGGATATGACAGCATTTCCAACATTATCTATTAATCAGTGCCCATTTCCTTCATCTGTTAGACTGTAAACCTGCTTCCAAATACATTATAGCATAACCAGTAAAATCTGGATTTTAAAATGTAATCAATCCATTTAACAAAACTTATATTTTAGTTGGCATTTGAGCAGTTTCATAATGTCTTTATCTTATTTGCAGAATAACCACAAAAGAATGGCCCCTTTGACAAGGATCATGAGGAAACAGACATTGGTGGTGTGTTCCATTAGCTGAACCATAAACTTGATTGAACTCTCAGGTGTTGTCTTACTAATTTCCAGGTTTGTTTCCACCAATCAGTCTAGAAGCTACATTGCAGTTTTTTGGTCTTTAATCCTTAGTCATCTTTGATTTGTCACATTTTCCTTGGTTTTCATGAAATCCATTTGGCATATTTGAGGAATGCCAGTCAAGTATTGCATAGCATGGTCTTCAATTTGGGTTTGGCAGATGTCTTCCTCATGGTTACAACGGGATTATGGGTTTTTAGTATCCCATGGAGGTGATGTACCTCCTGACCCCCTCCCATCATTTCTTAGGTGATGTTAATTAACCTTAACCACTTGGTGATGGCAAGTTGCCATTTTTCTTTCTCTGCTCTTTTCCAGCTATGCTGGATTCAAGCACCACCTCCTGGAGAGGCCATCTCTCTCCTGGTTCTTGTCCTCTGTCCAAGTGGGAAGCTCCTAGATATTGAGGTCCTAGACAACTAAGTCCTGTCCTTATTGAGCAGGGGTCCCTCTTCTCTGCCTTGAATACTGCAAAATCCCTGCATTCCCCTACTTTAGTCTTTGGTTAGCCTACACATTCTTTCCTCCGTAATAGTCAGGTTCTCAAGGCATTGCTTAGTTATATTACACAATAACAATTGAAATAATCATAGCTATCACTACTTATTGAATTTTTTAAAGATTTATTTTATCTGTGCATAAAAGAGGAGGGGTACAGACCAGAGGGGTGTGTGTGGGGGGGAATGAGAGGATTCACCAGAGATGGAATGGGGAGCAGAACAGGGGAATTAACTGAAATACACTGCTGAGGGGAGCAGTGGGTGAGACAGGAGAGGTCTGCTGCGCCATGTGGGTTCTCTCCCTGGCAGGGGATTGAACTTGTGCTGCAGTGGCTGCTGATAGCTTCATAGTGCTGATATTTAACTCTTTGTGCCACCAGGGAGGCCCCACTTACTGAATTTTTTTATGATTTGCTACTGTTGTAAATACATTGATTTTCTCATAATCTTTGAAACTGCCCTTGGATGAGGATAGCCACTGGTTTCCCCCAATATGCCAATAGGAAGACAAAGCCACAGACAGCCTAAGTTACCCAAGGAAATCCTAAGGGAAGTGGGGTAGCTTTGCCAGCTAGCACTCATTTCTAAGCATTGTGCCAGTACTAAGCAAGTATTGAGTCTGTATTTAAATGAATTGATTAATAAGACTTAATTTTCCTCTTTGATTGACCTTCTTTGACTAGAGAAATCTATTATAGCATAGAAGAAATAAAGAGCCTTTAAAATAATTGTGCTTCATATAAGCATTGCAAAGCAAAAGTCTAACACATTACTTTCTTTTAAAACCATAGTTGCTCCTCGTGGGCTTGTTAAATGAGTACATGGACCCATCTTGCACATCACACATCTGCAGCTTACTTTACTTTGTTATCATTCAGTTGTTTAACATATTTATGAATAAAAGGGGTCCTTATTTCTGAAGTTGCCATCCTAAAACTTGACACAAGGAGAATAAGGAAGACTTCATAAAAATCAGCAGATAGGAGTATAAAATTAGAAGCAAAATAATGCAGAGAACATGTTGTGGAGTTATTAGAAGACAGAGCTATGCAAATCTTTAATGTTGTCTTGCATCTCATTTGTGTTTTTGGGGACTCTCAGTTGATAAAAATGGTAAAGCAAGTTATTCTTATAGAGTAACCAGTGAGTAGGGAACACAGACATTAAGGAATAAATAATTACCTCAGTGATAAGATAGGCTGAAGGAAATAAAAAAAACTCATCGCCAGGATCATACGCAGCTCCTGTGCATTGCTTACGGAAGGAAGCCTTCCTGACAGGGGCAAATTTACACCGAGATTAAAACCTGGAGCCAGGATTTCAGATCTGTCCATTGAGTTAATAAAACAAAAATATTATTCATCACAGGTTGAGTAACACACACTTTTAGATCCCTCTGGAACGGACACTTTGGCAGTATGTTTCCTTCAAGATCTCATTCCTACAGGACTCTTGAGTGCATGAATGGGAGCCTATCTGCCCTGTGGTTTCTACCTCTGCCCTCACATGTCCCTTTTTGTGAACATGGCCTGTATATTTGGTTGCCATGTCAGACTTGGTGTGTTGTTCAAAATATGTTCTCCTGTCACCATGCAAATATCCTGCTTGTTCTAGGAAAGAGTCAGTAAGGGGAAACAAAAGTGCAGTTGATTGTTCCTTATTTTAGATGGATGATGTCATACCTCAGAGAGGAAGGCTTCTTGCTGATTTGAGAGTCCCCCCCAAACCTAGGTTTTAGTCAACTGTAGATTTTATTTAGTGTTGTGTTTTTTACTTAAAAACATTTATTCAAAGTTCTAAAAATCAAAGCATTCAATACCATGAGACTTGCACAACAGCAAATGATTAATGATATAATTCTCAGTCCTTTATAAAGTGTCTTAACACTGAAGAGATTTATACAGTGTGGAATGGTGATGGTGCTTCAATGTGAGAATAGGTAATCAATACCTGTAAGCTTGGAAAAGTGTTCTTATTTCCTCCACTAATGACATGGTGGTTTTGCAAGGCAAGGGTGTCTGGAGCATGAAGTACTCCAAAGAAAAATTAATTTAAAATCTGAAGTGGAAGATCAGTTTCAATTAAAATTGCACTTGAACGTATATTGGGTGGAAGTGTGAAAGCAAGCCTGTAGACGGTCGGCTTGTATCTTCAGATTGTTACCAGTGAATAAATGAATCCCACTGGTATGAATCCTGATTATATTTTTATAGAGTGCTAAATTATATTTCACCCATGTCTGCAAAGTTATGACAAATAATATAAGTGGCAAGTACTTTTCAGAGCTTTTTTTTTTTTTTTTTTTCCCCCCTACTAGCGGGATAATTACTAGATGTCGATGTGTTTTTACAACTGATGACTTACATTCTTATTTCTCTGGAGTCATATGAGTCTGGATTTATTTTACCCTGCATTTTTTTTTGCAATGAATTTGTTTATTGTATTAGTGAATTTCTAAAAGGAATTACACACAACCAAATCCTGAAACATTTGTTTCCATAATTTGAGCATACACAGATCCAGTGGGAGCTGAATGAAATACACATTTTAGTCAGCCATCAAATATATCAACAACCACTTTATTCAATTTTTCAATGAGTTCCTTTGTTATGGAAGAATATTTAAAGAGTGGACAGGATAATTGGAACCACTTATTATGTCCACTTTCTCTACTTTTTTCCTTCAAATGTGTTGACGGAAGATGAAAATGAAGTTTGGCCTGAATATATGCAGAGGCACAGACTGTTCTTTTATGACTCATCACAGTCTTAGGGAATTTGACCAAGAGGTGAAACTGCATGAGTGAAAAGTCCTTGACATTTCTTAATTTAGTCAGAGTCCTACAGTAAAGAAAATGATGGTGTTAACTCTTTTGGAAAGTGTTATGGCACTTGTAAATGCCTTCTAACTGTTTCATCAATCCGGAACATGTTTTTTCTGATAGTTTATTTTATCTTACTATTTGGGATAAAGATTAGGGAAAAAGACCCAGGCACAGAGCAAGGCCAAGTCATTTGCCAGATAGAAAGAATATGAATAATTTTTAGGGAGTTATATCAATTGCTCTTGCAATCACGAAGCTTCCATTACACAACCAAGATTTTCTGTTTGTCCTTTTTTTCATGGTACTGCTGTTTATGTATCAGCTGCGCACTGAACTAGACAAAGGAGGGTGGGGTGGGGAAAACCATGACAAATGAGTTTCTGATGGTGGGTTTGACACAGGTGGTGCACTTGCCTTATGTTGTCCCTGTGTCCCCCATCATACAAGGATAAGTGCAGAGTGCGACATGAAAATGCAAGTTGACGCAGTGTTGGCCTCCTAGTATCGCTTTGACCATCCTCTTCTAATGTGTGAAAAATTTAAAGCTAGAGAGTTTCGTAATACAGGTACATGTATATGCAAGTATATACATATACTTCACTTTATTGATTGAGAAATCTGTTTTAATTTCTAAATATTATAAATTCAGACTTTTACTAGAACTAATTCTGAATTAGAGACTTATTCTTTATGGCAAAAGATGTTTCTTTTCAACAGGTTACTTCTGCTTTGTTATGCCAGGAAGGTTAATGGCAGGGTGCTGAAAAATCTCAGTGGCTTGTTATCAACTTAGTAGATATTGCCCCTGGAATATTTCATTTTTGAATGGGTCAAAGGAGCCGTTGAAGTGTTTTCTCTACCTTTGCCTAATTGGCATGTTTTAGAATTATGCTTGATAATTGCATTCTCTTCCTGAATCTCTGTGGCATGCATCCCCCCCAAAGTTTTCATTTATGAGTGCTGAGTTCAATCTGGAGGTAATCTATATTCCCATCTCCTATGTAGAGAGTGACTGAGAAGAAGCAAGCACCTTAACACACACGTACACAAAATCTGGACAAACTGAAAAAATTTTTTCAGTTAGCCAAAGGAAAACCCTGCCTCACTGCCTACATTATTTGTAATGATTTTCATCTAGTGTTGCATTCATTGCTTTTGAATTTTTACATTTTTCTTATCTGATTCGCAAAGTCCCAAGAGCTAAGAAGAAAGTTGTGTTTAGTACACTGATGGCAGTAGCAAGACATGCTAAATTGATGAAGGTGTTTTCTTGTGAATAAATGCTGTTTATTTTAGGAAACCTATTTAAAAATTTTTTTTAAATGTGAATAACTCTGACAGCCCTTCTGCTCAAATTCCTTAATCTGGTTACACATAGAGTTAGCAAATGTTTGATTACAAATCAAGAAGCAAAACTATCTTAAGTAACATATCTTTTCTTAAATCTTGTTGCCCAGTGAAGACAATGGCTTGGATCCACAATTTTCAATGTACTGACCCCTTTGGAGTGGATATAGGTAGAAAAATGAACCTTGAGAGGTTCAGTGGTCAGCATCCTATGTCTTAATTGTTCCAGCTGTCATTCTTAAACCATGACGATTGAAGTTATTGTTTCCTCCTGACAGGTGCCTATGGTCCTGAGCACTGGGTTACATCGAGTGTGAGCTGTGGAGGCCGTCACCAGTCTCCAATAGACATTTTAGACCAGCATGCACGTGTCGGTGAAGAATACCAGGAACTGCAACTTGATGGCTTCGACAATGAGTCTTCTAACAAAACCTGGATGAAAAACACAGGGAAAACAGGTAGGCTGTGTCTTTTTTACCTGATCATGGGACAGTTTTTCTGTATGTCTCTGGTATTTACCATAAGCTTGATGTGATCCTTATAGTGTACACTGCTGGAGAGAACATACAGCTGGGTGAGAACTTTGAGATTACCAGCTGTGTAATTCTGGACAAATTACTTAAACATTCTGTTCCTTAGTTTTTTAAAAATATGATCATTGTAAATAAAACAAATTGTATCAATCTCATAGGGGTGTGAGGATTGAGTGAGTCACTGTAAGTAAAACATATAGAATGGATTTCCAAGTTTGTTCTGTTCAATATGGTGGCTACTAGCCACACATACTGTTTCCATTTCAGTTTTAATTAGATGAAATTCTAGCACAATATTAGAATCAGTTGTACTAACTACGTGCCTTTTTGTTTCTTTCCCCAAATTTGTTAGTTTGCCTATTTGCAATGTTTAAAAGCAGAAGAAAGATGCACATTCAAACTTTTTGGGTGAGAGGGAATGATTCTTGACTATTTTCCCTAGCTCTTTGAAGATATAATTAGCATATAGCATTATGCAAGTTTAAGTATAAAACATGATGATTTGGTACACAGATGTATTATGAGAAGATTACCATGAATAGGGTAGTTAACACATGTATCACCTCACACAGTCATCTGTGAGTATCTGTGTGTCTCTCTGTACATATGATAAGAACATTGAAGATGTACTTTCTTAGGAGCTCTGGAATATATAATACCATACTCTTGACTATATTCACCATGTTGTATATGGATCCCTAGAACTTACTCATCTTGTAACTGGACATATCTTCTCTTTGACGAACAACTCCCCATTAAACCCACCCTCCAGTCTCTGCTTCAGTGACTTTACATTTTTCATATTCCACATATAAATGAGGTCATTTAGTACATTTCTCTGTCTGACTTATTTCACTGAGCATAATGCCCTCAAATTTCATCTATGTTGTTGCAAGTGGCAGTTTCTTTCTTTTTAATGTATGAGTCATATTTCATTTGTGTGTATGTGTATGTAACATTTTTTTATGCATTCATCCATTGACATTTAGTTTGTATCCATGTCTTGGCAATTATGAATAATGCTGCAGTGAACATGGGGGTACACTATCTTATGAGGTAATGATTTAAAGTCCTTAGGATATATACCCAGAAATAATATTGCTAGTTCATATAATAGTTCTATTTTTGTTTATTTTTGTTTGTTTGTTTGTTTTTTTAAAGATTTATTTATTTATACAAGTACTGGGTACAGCCAGAAGCACAGGAGGGTGAGAGAATACACCAGTGCCAGAGCGAGGAACAGAATAGGCAGAAGGACCAAAGTACACTGCTGAGGGGAGCAGCGGGCGCCGCAGGAGAGGTCTGCGCGCCATGTGGGACCCTCACTGGTGGCCAGGGATCGACCCGGCGCTGCAGAGGCTGTAGGCAGCTTCGCAGCCCAGCGCTCAACCGCTGCGCCACCAGGGGAGGCCCTCTATTTTTGTTTTTTGAGGAACCTCCATATTTTTGAATAATGCTATACCAGCTTACATACCATCAACTGTACAGTAGGGTTCCCTTCTCTTCCCTTTTCATCCTTGTCTTTCTGATAGTAGACACAAGGGTTATTTGATTTGTCATTGTATTTTGGTTTGCATTTTCCAGATGATGAGTGGTGTGGAACATCTTACCATGTACCTGCTAGCTCTTTATCTTTTTTGGAAAAATGTCTGTTATCTTTTACCCAATTTTTAATTCAATTATTTGTTGCTATCGAGTTGTATGAGTTCTTTATATATCTTTAATATAACCCCTTATTAGATATATGGTTTACAGATAGTCTTCCATCCAATAGGTGCTGCTACCATTTCAGGCAGCCCAGATGGAAAATATTCTACAGTTGCAGAAAGTTCTCTTGGACAGTGCTGTGTCAAATAAGCAAAGGAAGTAAAACTCTTATCTTCCTTGAGATTTTGTTCTGTTATTATTTCTTATTATTATATTAGAGTGTGAATGAATACCATCTTATCCCATCTAGTCAACACTCTCCTGCTTCCTTTTACCCACCTCATTTGTCATTTGAGATTGTGAATATGAAGTATCACATTTTCCCCATTGTTTATACAAACAACTGCTTCCATTTAGTCCTTATTGCACTATTAATTCTAGATTGTCCGCAGAAATAGCAGAGAATTCTTGCTGTATGCAATTATCTGATCAGAAAATAAACACCAGCCTGTTATATTTTAACTGTCTAGTGCTGACTGGGTTTTTATTGTGCTAAAGACATTTTTTTTATCTAATTTTTGAGCTCTTTTAACCCACTAAAATTTTCATTCCTTACTTTTTTTTTTTTTTTTTTTAAAGATTTATTTATTTATTTATACAAGCACTGGGTACAGTCAGAAGCGCGGGAGGGTGAGAGAATTCACCAGAGCCAGAGCAGGGAGCAGAGCAGGCAGAAGGACCGAAGTACACTGCTGAGGGGAGCAGCGGGCGGCAGGAGAGGTCTGCGCGCCATGTGGGACCCTCCTCCGGTGGCCGGGGAGCAGCCGGGGATCGAACTGGCGCTGCAGAGGCTGCGGGCAGCTTCGCAAGCCAGCGCTCAACCGCTGCGCCACTGGGGAGGCCCCCTTACTTTTTTTTTAAAGATTTATTTATTTATGCATATAAGAACTGGGGTATAGGCCAGAGATGTGGGGGGGATGAGAGGATTCACCAAAGACAGAGTGGGAAACAGAACAGGCACATTGACTGAAATACACTGCTGAGGGGAGCAGCAGGTGAGACAGGAGAAGTCTGCTGTGCCATGTGGGTCACTTCCCTAGCCGGAGATCAAACTTGTGCTGTAGTGGCTGCGCATTGCTTCATAGTGCTGTGCTTAACCCCTTGCGCCTCCAGGGATGCCCCCATTCCTTACTTTTTTGAAATGATCCCTTCGTAACCAAGAATGTCACTATAAACCACTCTTGGTAATACCTATCAGGAGCTTGTCTGCCTAGAGCCCTCATGCTGGGTTAAAATGACTTCACCATCAGCCCTTTGATCTCATTCATACATGGGTCACTGAGTTGCCTTTTCCTTTTAACCTAATTGGCCATTTTCTTTCTCCAAACGAACATTTGTCTGAGATTATTCATGGCTGATTGCTTTGGCTTGGTCTTATTTGTTCATAGAACTGCTTCCTATTCACTCAGCTCATGATTTCCATCTTGGAGCTCTTTTTCATAATATCACACTCCTTCTTGCCTTACAGCAGGCTACACTCTCCTTTTGAGTAGCTGCTTAGGAAAAACTCATGTACCATTAATGTTACTTGTACACATCTTTTTCCCTTCCACCTCACTCTTCCCTTAATGTATGTGTTTATTGTTATAATTCATAATTACTCTAGTAGTGGTCCTGTTTCATATTTTAAGTGTGTGTGTCTTTTGGAGAACAGAAATGGAAATATTTGAGTATAGACTATCTGAATGTGGCAGATGGGATTTTTGCCACAGTGGGTGTAATGAGATCTTGGAGCTAAGTGCCACCTCAGTGCCACATTCCGGAAGCCTGCCAAAGGCAATTCACTGGGCTCTCTGATAGGGTTTTCTACTTGACTTGCAACGGTTGACAGCCTTCTACAAAGATAACATGTTTCAGTGACAGCTTTCAGCTTGGTATCTCCAATGACAGGTTTTAGACGAGTGTAGGGTTCACTCAATGCAAGTTGAATCATGACCTTGGTCTTCCAGAAGCTGATTATCCATCTCTGTCACTCTGCTGACTTTCTAAAGTGATCTACCACTTGTTGCACATCTGTGAGTTGCATGGACCTGATTTTAGAGCACAACCACCCGAACATGAACACATCTGTCTCAGAAATTTCAAGAAGCACAGCTCTCTGAGAAGCAGAAATAATCCTCACTACTTCTCCAATAGTACTTATTACTGCAAAATTCATGGCATCATAATCGTTAGCCAATGCATAAATAATCTATCAGATTGGTTTTTGAACAGTGACAATCATTTATATGCAATTTTAAACAACAACATAGAATTGTTTTTCTGTTCTATTTAAAGAGCCTCAATTTATGGTGGTTTAGAAACTTGGTGTAGAAATCAACCTGTGATTTTTTTTTTTTTGTAAGTACAAACCTAGAAACTTATTTCATTCTGTAATTCTTAAATGTGAAATGAGTTCATAAATTTTCTAGAGCTTTGGAGAAATGAAGTTTCAATTATTTTGTGTATTTTTCATAGATCATATAAATTCAGTTGAACAATAATAGTACATTACACTCAGTGTTGGGTGCTATGCGTGTCTAAATTAAAGACAGGGTTGATAATATCCACAGTGAATAGTATTGAAAGGCAACCTGGATAATATCAATTTAAAAGAAAATACCTATCTTTATACGATGTTTTGCAAGATGTTACCATTTGAGGAAACTGAAATAACATTTGGGGAACACATGACCTCTCTTTTCTTTCTTACAACTGCATGTGAATCTACAATTATCAGAAAAATTTACAAAACCCATATATCAAACCGAAGGAAGCCATATGGTCTTTGTTACAGTTGTTCATTTTCTATCCAACTTGCATGGCTAGATAAAGGGAAACTTTAATTTTTAAGCAACACATATTTTTCTTTAAAATTCTCTTTTTGAATTTTGTACTTCTTGAAAATAAATTTAGGAGGGAGTATTTTTTTTTTTTTTCTGGTGGAAATCTGTGGCTCACATCTCTAAAATAGACCATTTTTTGGATATTAAAACATGCATATAGAAAGTTAATATTTAAAGTGGCCTATTGCATACAGACAGTAACTTTCCCATAAAACAGTTTTAATGTTCATATCTGTCTTAACCCTCTGAGAGTGCTATATATCCAATCCAGCATAATCAATAGAGCGACTTGGTTATACCATAGCCTACTTCTCGAAAGTTGTCTAAAATATCTTTACAAGACAGATAGCATCTCTCTATTTCTTCCTGAGGAGCCATAACTGTCTATTGTGC